TTTGGCGAAAGCTGGCCTGATCACCCACGCTCTTGTCAACGTACTCAGTCGATATATTGGTTTCGAATGCTTGGCATACGCTTGGTCTCGAACTTGGTCGTTATGGTCGCTTCTGGTTCATCGGCTCAACGTGGTTTCGTCCTACGTCTGCAGCGTTTCTGGTGCGCACCCCTACGAACGCCATCTTCAGATTCTGGATACAAACCACTCTGGTGTAGCATGCCAACTCAAACAATAAATACAACACATCGCTCCTGGTACCGTTCTCCGAAAACGACCTACGTTGGCAACTCGACGATCAACGATCGCTTTCCTGTTCGCCAATTCTTCCGTCCTACAATCGCTCGTCAGCCGATCAGTCCCACGATTCAAACCGCTATTTATCGAAAGTGTAAACCCTTTCTAGCGGGGGGCTCCTGTAGTGACTCACATTTATCACGAGAACACGACTGGTTTAATAAAAACAATTATTATTATAACCAACTGTACCAGTGTTTGTTTTAATGTGCTTTTGTTTGACTGTGCTAATGACAGCTATTTTGTGCTTCCATTCTTTTACTTACACTTTGATTGTAACTTCGCGCGAATTCGGTTACGTTCTGTAACCAAGCTTGTATTCTGGCACGATCTCGGTATCCTTTCGATGCCACGAGATCGCCAGCGAATACATCTCGATTTGGTCCATTAACTGTCTTCTGATATTTGGCTTCTCGGAGATTTTATGGATCTATTTGGTTACGTCCAACCTTCGCCTTCTGATCTATTCTGGCACGTGTTTCTTGGTAGCGGTGTTCATAGTTAACCTCAACTCGACGCCACGCTACAATTGGTGATCCCAAAGTTTGGAACACGCCTCAACTTCTGGTCAAATCTTCCAAAGAAGCCAATTCGGTGAGTCTATGATTTATCTATCCACGTCTGTCGTATATTTTCATATTTTTTAATATATAATATACGCGACATGACGGATAACGATAAGAATAGTATTAATATAATAGACTCACATGTACGTGTACCGAATCCTTGTTACTTTTTATTCGCGTGACGATGAATTCCACGCTTTATTCGAGAAAGTTTCCCCTATTAACTATTCTCCTCGCTGACCCGGCTGCTTGGTACGGAATGCATACGCATAAGCATATCTGTCTACCACCCAGCACCAAATGGTTAAGTAAACGGTTTCACTGCCAACTTAAAAGTGCTATACGAGCACACGAAAACGGCAACTGGCACGAAACCTTACCGCTCGTTCTTTTAGGGATCACAACGAGCTTGAAGGCAGATATACAATGTTCCGCCGCTGAACTGGTATTCGGCACGACATTGCGTCTGCCCGGAGAATTCTTCACACCACGGAGCAGACCTAATTTCGGTAAATCAGACTACGTCCATCGACTGTCTGCATTTATGCGAACGCTGTCTCCGGTGTCAACTCGAATACAACATCGACAGGTCGCTCTCCCTCGAGAGTTATCTACCTGTTCACATGTTTTCATACGAGTAGATTCGGTACGCAAACCTTTGCAACAACCTTACGAAGGCCCTTTTCACGTGATCGCTCGTCACGAAAAGACCTTCAAGGTTGATCGACATGGCCGCGTCGAGATCGTCAGCATTGATCGTCTCAAACCAGCACACGTCGATGACAGTGCCCTATCTGATAACCTGAGATTCAATGCTAGACCTATCAAACCTACTAGCGGGATCCTCAAACCATCTTCAGGTCCCACGCTAGATACATCTGAGACCTCATTCTCACGTCCCAGTCAACAGCACGCGTCATCTGCACCGTCTACGGATGAGACGACAGTCTCACGTCCAGATCAGCAGACCACGCCGCCCTTGACTTCGGATGAGATTGCAGGCTCACGCGACGCGAACGAGACTGCCGTCTCACGTTCCGGTCGCCGAGTACGTTTACCCGTACGCTTCCTTGACTAGTCGCACAGTCGACAACCGATACGGTGTAGGAATATTCCTATGCTACTTGCATGCTACACTCTTCTCTTTTTTTGATTTTCTTTTTGTTTCCTGAGCCCACGCCCTCGACCATCTCCGTTTGGTTCCGTCGACTTCAGTCAACTTTGGCGAAAGCTGGCCTGATCACCCACGCTCTTGTCAACGTACGCAGTCGATATATTGGTTTCGAATGCTTGGCATACGCTTGGTCTCGAACTTGGTCGTTATGGTCGCTTCTGGTTCATCGGCTCAACGTGGTTTCGTCCTACGTCTGCAGCGTTTCTGGTGCGCACCCCTACGAACGCCATCTTCAGATTCTGGATACAAACCACTCTGGTGTAGCATGCCAACTCAAACAATAAATACAACACATCGCTCCTGGTACCGTTCTCCGAAAACGACCTACGTTGGCAACTCGACGATCAACGATCGCTTTCCTGTTCGCCAATTCTTCCGTCCTACAATCGCTCGTCAGCCGATCAGTCCCACGATTCAAACCGCTATTTATCGAAAGTGTAAACCCTTTCTAGCGGGGGGCTCCTGTAGTGACTCACATTTATCACGAGAACACGACTGGTTTAATAAAAACAATTATTATTATAACCAACTGTACCAGTGTTTGTTTTAATGTGCTTTTGTTTAACTGTGCTAATTATAGTTATTTTGTGCTTCCATTCTTTTACTTACACTTTGATTGTAACTTCGCGCGAATTCGGTTACGTTCTGTAACCAAGCTTGTATTCTGGCACGATCTCGGTATCCTTTCGATGCCACGAGATCGCCAGCGAATACATCTCGATTTGGTCCATTAACTGTCTTCTGATATTTGGCTTCTCGGAGATTTTATGGATCTATTTGGTTACGTCCAACATTCGCATTCTGATCTATTCTGGCACGTGTTTCTTGGTAGCGGTGTTCATAGTTAACCTCAACTCGACGCCACGCTACAGAAGCTACCACCCACTTGTTCTTCGTTCATACATAAAAAATTCAAGCAAAGTCGGGGATGAAGGGGTTAGAAGGTATATTTGTAAGATGGTTAATACGTCAAAAGTTATATGGTACAAGCTGGTGAAGATGACACAGGTATTCAGTGTTTGAGAACGTTTATACCAGGAACACCTTCTAATATATTTCGTTCCCACCAAGAGAAATCAAAAGACAGAGTCGAGGAGATCGGAAGAGTATATTTGGCGATGACCAATATATCGGAATTCTCTGATCTAATCTGGCTAGCGATTGCGGTTGATGTTGAGCAAGACGTTACCACACGTGATCTGGTGCGGATGCATGACCGAGCGCCTTCAGCTAGATGAGTCCACTAAAACATACGGTCAGCATCCAATGTCGAAAACTTAGTGCTATTTATTTTGGGGATTTATTTACCGCTACAGATCACTCCCCCCCCTAGTGGGTCAGTGACGAACCTAAGACGTGGCCAGTCAGAAGTTCAAACCCAGCGAGTTTGTCGTTGGTAAACATTCTTCTGATAGCTTACTAAGTTTACAAGCGTCTGATCGTCTTTCCTTACTATATGGGATCGAGGTACAACATAGTAAAAAAAGAAAAAGTTACAACGAAAAATTTGACTCCTCGTAAACTGCATCGTTCTTTTCCAGCCAACCTGGAAAAGAAAAAAATGAGAATATAAGTGCATGTCGAAATACACTCGTATGTGCGTAAAAACACAATGTCGGCGAAAAAAATGAAAAATCAACTCAAGCACACGTATTAGCGTTAAAAAATAATTTTTTTGTCTGTTTGTTTTTAAATAAATATATAAATATATAAGCATATTAAAATTTTAAAAAAATATTATATATCGTAAAAAGAAAGATCGAGATAATATAAGATGTCGAGTACTGCCTTACGTGCAGTAGTCGTTTAAATGTTCTGGAAATCTTACTCTTCTTCCAGAACGCGTCGTCTTAAGTTTATTTTAAGACACATTCGGAATGTCATCGCTGGTGTTGGTTGTCGGTTGAGGAATTATGAGTGTGGGAGTCATGTTGTGAGATTGTACCGAAGGAAAGTCGACGTGAATAGGATTTCCTTCTAAATACACTGCTTTTAAGCAATCGATGCTGATGCTATCGTTTGTTCCGTTCTTATCGACCATATAGTACTTAGATTCACGTTGAAGAACTTTGAAAGGTCCTTCGTATGCTGATTCGAATGGTCGTCGACGCGAGTCTCAACGAACGAAAACGTGTTTACTATATCGTAAGTCAGGTTGAACGAAAACATCGATTGATTGTGGTCGAGTGTAAGCATTGCGTTTGAAAGCCGCTACACTGGCTAGTTGAAAGGGCTGTATAGCATGACGTACATAGTTTGGTCTAATGTATTTTATTGCCCGAGCACTTTCAGATAGAGCGTGTTAAATAAAACTGACGATCTCAAGATCAATGTCAAAGACCCGCATAATTATTTGTTTTGGGGATTCATCCACATACTGAGCAGAATCCACATGCTGCGGAAGCTTTGTTCTCAAGGTCGAGGTGTGTAACAAGTCAGTTAATAGTGTTTGCTGTCTGTGTCCACCTTCACTAATGTTGAAACATGTTTGCAATTTTTTGATAGGTTTGTTAATCTCATCATTTGGTGCCAGCATCTGGTTTTCAAAGACATCGATGTATTCTGTAGCTCTAATTACTTGTCCGAATTCCACAGTCGCGGAGACTATTGCAGATACTCTAGTTAGTAGAAAACTGGCAGCTTGTGTCAATATCATACCCTCAATTAAGTCTGTTTACGTTTGGGAAGGGAAGGTGGAAAAGTCAGACGAGCTTCTTCTAATGGCGAAAACTCAATCAAAGTTGGTACCTTCTCTAACGGAAGCTGTCAAAGAAATCCACCCTTATGAATGCCCAGAAATCATTAGCTTAAACATTGAAGGGGGTTACCCACCGTACCTTAAATGGATTATGGACTCCACATCTTAGTAGTAAAAATGAAATTGTACATCTAAATAATAAATACTTTTCACACTCTATTCCTTCTGTAAAGTTTTACCTCTTAGTATAAAAGAATTTTTAGATATGGGTTCTGCTGCCTCTCACCAAACCCGAGATGTGACTTTCCACCCCGACGATATTGTAGTAAGTTATTCTGTTACATCATAAGTCTGTAAGATTAGCGAAGATGTAATTAAGCGAATCAAAAATGCTGCTACCACCGAGGATAATACGAAAGGTTGGTACATCGTTTGTTAGCTCTAGCTTTGAGATGACGTTCGTGCCCTAGAATCGTCCAAACCGCAGTATAGCCTAGGTTTAAAACATGAACTAGAAGAGGCAGAAAGAAGATACGAAAAGCTCCTGCAACTATTAGAAAAACGTGTACGTTTCTGTTTTTTATTAAGCAATGCAATTCATTGTGTTTTCCTTTTTATTTTGTCTTGAAGTAGACAATAGGGTATTCGAACCCTCTCTACAAGTCTTTTCACTTATACGAACATTTCAACATATATTGTACCACAAGGGACTAATTGATGTATTATTTCATATTGCTTATGTTTCTTACGTGCATCTGAGTAATCTGCCTTGTAAGTCGATTCTATAGGAATTTCTTATTATGAATATTACTTACCCTTAGTTCTTTAACGCAAACGATTAGATCAAAAGGTTTGGAAAAATAATCCGCATTATTCCTTAGGATATGATGTACGCTATTTCCCCCTTCTTATGGTAACTGTGTAATGTCCCTATTTCTTTCATTCGCTAAGCGGTTCTCACCTAATCTGTATTTTATTTTAATGTTATGCAATTATTCGTTATAACGCTTTGTTTTTTTCGCCACCATGTCTATTAGTTCTAATATTCATCTGATTGATAACAATTTAGTAATCTTTGAGTTTTGACAAAGCACCAGGGAAGGGAATTTCCACCGTGTACTCTACATTTGTGGTTGAAAAACGACTACCACATCTAATATATTTTAACGGACAAGATGCTTTAGGTGGTTAACCGCTTTACTTACCTAGTTGGTTATATCGTCTGATCGTGACCAATGAGACTTTCAATACATACACTCAAGTTCACATTCGCATACCTCTATCATTCATTAAGCCTGTGAGATTTGTCTCCAGTCTAGTAAACATTTCACCAACATGTTGTTTCCAGTAATACAAGTAAAGTGTTACCGTCAAAACCGGTAAGCAAGACTTTCACCAGTTTAACTTATACCATTTTCGCTTCGTTCTTCTAGCCTATTAAGATTATCGAAACTTTACTTTCTCAAAACGGAGTCTTTTCTGTATTGCCCCATGGCTGTGAAAATGGGGTATACTGGTACAAAATATGGAAAGATTGCTAGTGTTTATAAGCATTATAAGCTAACTGAAATATGGTGGAGCCTGCAAGTTAGTAATTCTGCGGATAGACTTCATGTTCTACGTGGAAATAATTAATCTATTATTGACTATATCAATCTTCATCAACTTGGCTAGGGCATATCTTGCACATGCCTAGCAAGAGCCTACTCTGATGCTCAGTTCTGGTTGGCATGAGAGTAAGTTGGAATAAGGTTAGGGTTGATCATTCGAAAACATTTTGCCAGTTCATGTAGAAATTAACTGTTAGGCTGAGTAATATCAAGGGATTTGGATTTCATGACTGAGTATTACTTAAAAGTCTCAATCTACAGTCGGAGACATTGGGTGGCATGACCTCAAAATCATGACTTAATGTCATACCATACTTTTCATTCTTCGATTTAATCGTTCCTTCCGAACCATGTTTTTTACTTTTATATTTCCATTCTAATGATTATTGCTGCCACTCCTCTTCTGCTTTTCACCTTGTGAATTTCTCGTCCTCTTGAGATGTGGCAACTCGAATTGATGTCAACATAGTATATGTGGTGTTAGGTCACTCCTACTAGTGGACACATTGCAACTTAATCGATAGAATTCGATTAGCACTAAAAAGTACTTATTTACTTACCTGTTATCCCTTGTGGAAGAACATAGGCTACCCACTAGCATTCTCCATCGAACTCTGTCCTGGACAATCTTTTCCAGTTACTATTCGTTCTTTTGATGTCTGCCTCAAATTCCCGACGCGATATGTTCTTCGGCCTTCCTCTTTACATTTTCCCATCAGGATTCTAAGTTAGCACTTGCCTCGTGATGAAGTTTGATGATTTCCGCAGTGTATGTCCTATCCACTTCCAACGTCTTTTCTTAATTTCCTTCTCAGCTGGAAGCTAGTTTGTTCTCTCCCACGGTAGGTTGTTGCTAATGGTATCCAAACAACGGATATTGAGTATCTTGCATAGAAAACTGTTTAGAAGTACTTGTACCTTCTTGATGATGGTTGTAGTAGTTCTCCACGCTGCAGCTCCGTATGTTAGGACTGTCTTGACATTCGTATTGAAGATTCTCACTTTGATATTGGTTGGCAGTTGTTTTAAGTTCCATATGTTCTTCAATTGTTGGAATGTTACCCTTGCTTTGACAATCCTCGCCTTTACGTCTGCATCTGATCCTCCTTGTTCACCAATGATGTTTCTCAGGTATGTGAAGGATTCTACATCTCCCAGAGTTTCGCCATCAGGTGTGATTAAGCTGGTGTGTCTGAGGATCTTGCTTTTTCGTTTGTGTATGTTGAGGCCTACTGATGCAGAGACTGCTGCTATACTGGCTGTCTTTATCTGCATTTGTTCATGTGTATGCGATAGGAGGGCTAGGTCATCTGTGAAGTCCAAATCGTCTAATTGATTCTGAACTGTCCATTGTATTCCGTATTTTCCTTCAGTTGTCGAGGTCTCCATAATCCAGTCGACCACCAGAAGAAAGAGGAAGAGGGAGAGTAGACAGCCTTGTCTGACTCCGGTTCTCACTTCGGATTCGTCTGTCAGCTGTCCTTCATGCACGGTTTCGCGCTTCAGTCTGTTGTATAAATTCCGTATGATGTTGACGAATTTCTTAGATACTTCATAGTGTCGAAGAAGTTTCCATAATGTTCTCTTGTTCACATTGTCAAACGCCTTCTCGTAGTCAATGAAGTTGATGTATAGTGACGAGTTCCATTCGCTTCATTGTTCAACGATGACTCGTAGTGTCACAATTTGGTCTGTGCATTACCGATCCTTACGGAATCCGGTCTCTTGATCTCGGATTTGCGTGTCTACTGAGTTATTCATCCGGTCCAGCAACACTGTTAAAAACCTTTTCATTGTACTGATAATAGTGTGGTGCCTCTGTAGTTCTCGCATTTGTTTAGATCTTCTTTCTTTGGTATGTTGATGAGGTGTCCTTTTTTACAGTCCATCAGCACTCGTTCCTCCTCCCAAATCTTCTTGATTAGAAGGTGAACCATGTTTGCAGTTACTTTCATGTCTGACTTGAGCGCTTCAGCTGGTATATTTTCTGGCTCTGTTGTCTTCCCGCTCTTTATTTGTCTGATGGAGATCCTGATTTCTTCGATCGTTGGTGGAGTGACATCTATAGGAAGGTTTGTGTGTACCGCTTCGATGTCCAGTGAGTTCAGTGTGGCTGACATATTTGAGAGTTCTTCAAAGTGTTCTACCCACCTCTTTCCTTGAATCTCAGTGATTGTCTTGCCTTCCAGTCTCTCTGGTTTACTATATTTCCTTGCCAGTTTTTTCATCGTGTCATATAGTCGTCTCATATTTCCTTTTTTTCGAGCTGTTTCCGCTGTCGTTTCTAAGTTTTCCACATATTTCTGCTTGTCAGCTCTAATTCCCTTCTTCATTATCTTGTTTGCTTCAGCGTATTCAGCTTGTGCCTTGGCTTTCTCCGCTCGTGTTCAGCTGCTGTTGATTGCTGTCTTGTTCTTCCTTTCTTGAATCTTGTCCAGGTTTTCCATAGAGGTTCATTCCTTATGATGATGCTTCTTGAGGCCCAGCTTCTGCTAACACGTTGAGTTTAGTGCTTATTTGATCCCTCCCCAGTTGTCCTCCATCGTAGTATCTTCTTTCAGTATGTCTTATAAGGCTTGGTACCTCTTGTTAAGAGTTATCTTGAATTGGTTGGTTTTGTTAGTATCTCGAAGGAAGGCTGTATTGAACCTTTGTACTGCTGTTTTTCCAGTTGTGCAGTGTTTCTTTAGCCTCAGTTTCATCTTGGTCACAACCAGGTGATGATCTGGTTCTCTCGTCTTTTTGAGTGATACAAATATGATTTATCTGACCAATATCATGTACTTCGTCCTTTTTGGCGTTTTTTAACCTTCCTAAAAAAACGCTAAGAAGGACTTGACATATTATTATTTATTTATTTATTTATTTGAACACATAAATATTGGTACAAGAGAGCGCCAATATATATGCGCCACACAAAACAATGGGAATTCGAAGAGAAGAAGAAAAAAAAAAAAAAACTAAGGAACGCAAAAGAAAAAGAGAGTAATGACGATAAGGTACAATCAGAAGAAATCTTTCAGGTAAAGGAGACACAACCACTTTTTATGAAGAAAGTAAAAGAAGGTTACAGCAGGATCGCCACTGGCTTCTATTCTGAGCCATATCTGATAACGTCTCTAGCCACTGTGTAGCACCATCTCTCGGACCCCAACCAGGGAGTCGTGAAGGACCAACACAAGCCAGTCCTTTGCAGCTTTCTTTCATGCCACGACACCATGTCATGCACTGACCACCTCTCCGCTTCTTCCAACCAGTCCCAGAGTCGGCAAATAATGCACGACGTGGAATTCTCTGGGACGACATTCGGAGAACATGTCCAAGCCACCGAAGTCGGTGTTTCAAGATGGTGACACCAATTGAGTTATCATCTCTGTGCCCGAACACACGATGCCGAACCTCTGCATTACTGACATGGTGTTGCCACTGAATGTCAGCAATCCTTCGGAGACAGCGATGATCGAACACAGAGAGTCGTCTAACGTCCTCAACTCGGAGAGGCCAGGTTTCACAAGCATAGAGCAAAACTGCTCTCACCGACGCGTTGTAGATCCGACCTTTTACAGCCAGACTAACATCACGAAGGCGCCAAAGGTGGCCCAGATTGGCATAAGCCGCTCTGGCTTTCACTATTCGTGCATTGATCTCATCACTCACACCCCCACCAGCACTTATGCAGCTACCCAGATACACGAACTTCTCAACTACGTCTATCTGCTCACCGTCCAGGGTGAGTACAGGATTAGAATCCTGCCAGTCTTGTAGAAGTACTTTGCACTTCGAAGGTGCAAAGCACATACCATACCTACGGACACTGATTGCCAACTGATTAAGTGCGGATTGCATGCCTTGGGCATTATCGCACAGTAAGACAATATCGTCCGCATACTCAAGGTCGAGAAGTCTTTCTCCAGGCAACAGATCCACACCACCATTACTTACATTCATCAGAGCTGTTTCCAGAATGTCATCGATGGCAAAGTTGAAGAGGAATGGTGAGATTGGGCAACCCTGCCTAACCCCACTGCTCGAATGGAACAATGGAGAGAGGTGGTTGTATGCCCTCACTCTGCCTGAGGTGTTTTTATACAGGGCTTTTAGGATGTTAATAAACTTCTCAGGCACACCCTTCTTCAATAGACAATCCCAGAGAACAGTCCTATCCAACGAATCGAAGGCAGCCCTGATGTCAAGAAACACTACGATTGTTGGCCTTTGAAAAGTATGGCGGTGTTCTAACATTTGGCGGAGGGTGAAGATATGATCAATACATCCTCGACCAGAACGAAACCCAGCCTGCTCCTCGCGAGTCAATCTTTCTCGGGTTTTGAACAACCTACGAAGAATGACGGAAGCCAATAGCTTGGACGCAATCGGAAGTAAACTTATCCCCCGATAGTTGTTACAAGAACGACGTGAACCCTTTTTAAAGATAGGGACAACTATCGACTCATTCCATGACGTTGGTACACTCTCTAGTTCCCAAACCTTTGTAAACAACGTCGTCAATTCCTTAGTCAAAAAGTCACCACCATCTTTAAAAAGAGCCGGAGGTAAGTCATCTGGGCCAGGTGATTTGTAACGCTTCAAGAGTTGGAGTTCCTTGCGGACTTCCTCCTCGTTTGGTGGATCAGTCGTCACCGGCCATGGAGGGCAGGACAGTCTGACCGATGTTGCCGGAGCAGCAGGCCAGTTGAACTGCCCTTCGAAAAATTCTGCCCATCGTCCAAGACGTCGATGGATGTTAGTGATTGGCATCCCATCATCCTCGCAGATTGTTTCACTCACACCAGACTTCTTGCTGCCAGTGGCTCGGATGAGTTGGAAGAGCTTCCGGTAGTTACCAGATGCAGCTGCTGCTTCCAGCTCATTAGCACGCATCGACCACCAGGCTTCTCGGTCCTTACGCAAGCTTTGCCCAATTTCCTTACGTAACATCCTTCGTTTATGGTCAAACTCACGGTCACCCGGAGTAGACCGACGGGCTTCAATGAGTTGTAAGGAACCAGAAGAAACCCAGTGCTTAAAAGCGGGACGTTTCGCAAACCCACAACTGACTGTTCCCGCCATTTTCATGGCGTCATGCAATTGCAACCAATGCTCATCTATACTTTTCGGTGGAGTGGTAGCTAGCCTAGAGGCTAGCTCGGTTCGATACTTACTTGCAACAGAAGTTGCAACCAGCTTGCTAACATCAATCCGTTGATGGCGTTCACTTCGTTGTCCACTGAAAAGTAAGGCAAGATTGGCGCAGACCAAGGCATGGTCAGAGTCCAGATAGGTACTCCAAAAGGAGCGGCAGTCTTGTACACAACCACGCCAGCGGTAGCTGATCGCGATGTGATCAATCTGAGTCCAGGCTTGAGATGCAGAGGGAGGACGCCAGGTGGCACATCGGCGATGACTGTGCCGAAAGTTAGTGCTAGCCAGAAACAGGTTGTGGTCTGTGCAAAGTTGCAGTAGACGGTCCCCGTTATCTGACCTGCGACCAACGAGTCCCCATCGGCCACCTAAACGACTCTCTTCTGTGCCTAGACGCCCGACCTGAGCATTCAAGTCTCCGGCTAGTACTACAATATCTGTCGAACGCACTTTCTGGAGAAGAACTGATAACTGGTGGTAAAACTCATCCTTGATTGCATCCGGGCTGCAATCTGTCGGGGCATAGGCGGAGATGACGAAAAGACATCGTTTCTCACGCCGATTTCTTCTCACTTTGATGGAACTTTCTAATCTAACAGCACATAACCGACTGTTAATGGGGATCCAATCGACTAGTGCTGCCTCAGCTCTAGCGCTTAGTGCGACACCAACGCCAGCAAGACCAGACGAAGATGCCACAGGGTCCCCGGATAAGCGCACGTAAAACAAGCTTTTCGAAGCGACAGATGGAGATCGAATTTGTAGTACTTCGCCAGAGTCTTGAATACGGGTCTCGGATAGACAACACACGTCGATATTAAGACTTTCCAAAGACATAGCCAGCCCTATCTGTTGTCCGACCTGCATAAATGTGCGAACGTTGAAGGCAGCCAGTTTGAATGGTGCACGTGGTTTCAGAAAATCTGCTTCAGTCCTCGTATTCGGTGGTAACATACAATTTTCAACCGGACAGTGACTCGAGAACGTTTAGATACAGTCGGAATTCCACCAAAGACGAGCCGCTGTATAAGTATAAAAGAGGGTGAATAATGTGGAAAATAATAATAATAATGATAATAATAACAATAATGACAATAATAGTAGTAATAATAATATTAGTATTAATAATGACAATAATTGTAATGATAATAATTTGAATCAATTGATTGTTTTTCAAAGCGACAAAAGTAATTTCCATAGACATAAAGAGTTCATCATTTGTGTGTGGGCTGTGATACTGCCCGGGTGCCCAAACCGAAGCAGGTGGTTATCTTAGGGGGCCACTCCCCGAGCCTTTGACCTAAAGGTCTAACCCACAAGGCAGTGGAGCATCGTAAGGAGATGCAGTCCCATGGTAGCCGGTGACCAACGATTGGTTCATACGCCATTCGTTCCCGCAGGATACTGGAGCCCATGTGCACCATTGGTTTGGAATCCGGTTAAAGCGCCGGACATTCGCTTTTCGTCCTCTCATTTTCGTAAACAACACCCCCGCCACGAGAAGGCAATGAGTAGGACTTCCCTGGCAGAGGCTGTATACGCGTGGCCGTGTGAGAGTATTTCGAGAGGGAGAGCGGACTCTCCCCACTCTCGGCCGTACCAGGGCATTCAGGGGGCTCCTCTGGTTTGAGGACTTGACATACATGATATTAGCCACTACTCAGTGATTAGTTAATTGTGAACCAATATTCTTTTGCACCAGGTGTTCGGTTGCCTATAACTAAATGAACGTTTTCAAAAAGATTCCGTTATTTTGACTTTTTTGGTCATGTTCTGTTTTGAAGTGCAGAGATTTTAGCTTATGCAGCCTCAAATTGTTCCATTCAGATGACTAACCTATTTGTAACGTAAAAGCCTTACACTAAGTCACAAATATTATTGTTTTGAAATTGAATCACTGTGATATTATTTATTGCGAATATTTACGGTTTGTTTTAGAATGAACAACTGTTCAACGAGGCTGCAGAAGAATATACACGGACAGTTGAGCGTTTAGAAAACAAGTACATGTAAGTTGTGTAAATGTACTACAATGTGTAACACTTATTCATCAAAATAATTCTGTCGAAATCTGTGATTTATTACATTTATATGGATTGAGACTTTGCCAGAAGTCTTGAATTTTTCCACTGATATTTCAAAACTGTCGAGACTTCCTTATCTAAAAAATGGTTTTCCTTGTTATCATTATGAGATAACCGGAAGTGTTGAGTTAGGTTGTATCTGATTGCACAGATTTATTTTTAGGATAAAGACGTGTCGGTAAAGTTATGCTTCTAGATGTTGACAGTTGTTCATTGAAATCGTACAAGTATTTATCGTGTGTCTGTGGGATAATTTTAGTTTTTCACCAACTGCTGTGTCAGGCAAGGCTGCTTACTCTCCACCTTTCTCATTCTTCTGGCGGTTGACTGGATTATGAAGACCTCCACATCTCGGGAGGAGCACGGAATATAGACAGCTTGGATTTCGCAGATGACCTGGTTCTTCTATCTCATACCCAGCAACAAATCAAGTGAAGACAACTAGTGTGGCATCAGCAAGAGCCTACTGTGAAGGAGAACAAACCAAATACCAGTTGAAGAGGAAATTAGGAAAAGATGTTGGAAGTGAATAGGACATACACTGCGGAAATCATCAAACTTCATCACGAGGCAAGTGCTAACTTAGAATCCTGATGGGAAAATGTAAAGAGGAAGGCCGAAGAACATATCGCGTCGGGAATTTGAGGCAGACATCAAAAGAACGAATAGTAACTGGAAAAGATTGTCCAGGACAGAGTTCGATGGAGAATGCTAGTGGGTAGCCTATGTTCTTCCACAAGGGATAACAGGCGTAAGTTAGTACGACACAAAACTCACTTATTCAACATCATGTCGTTATGACATGCAGTATTTTTGTATCATCATTTTTTTGAGGTCGTTCGTGACCACTGCTTGCTGCATGGTGTTATAAACGTTAGTTTAAATCTGGAAACTGCACTAGTATGATACAATGTATATGTTTACTTACATCCCATAACTCTATTTATAAAGAGTTGTGGAATTATCCACCTACCTAACAACTTCAAACCTAAGTATCAAAGTGCTAATATTCGTTTCTAATTCCTGAAATTCGATTAACCGTGTTGTGTCATCGTGTTTTATTTCATACAGTGATCTTTACTGTTCTAAATAAATATTTACATAGTTCACGAGTTGCATATTTACATTTATTGTCTACTTCGGTGGTTTACATATGTACACTTTGATTGACATCCAAAGTAAAGTGGCAATATATTCTTATTTAAACTATTCAGATAAAATGAATTATTTTCATAATGGTAAAACAACATATAGCTTTCAATGCTTGGTTTTAGAATAATTTTTGTTCTTTATTGTAGGAGGCCTACTCCTGGGGGGTGTTGTGCTGCAGCTGAACAAAGAGTCGAAGATTGTTATAAGCAGAATCCTGGAAAAATACTTTTGTGTTCCAAACTTGTTTCAGAGTATGATCGTTGTGTGCAAAATTTCCTTGTCGTAAGTGATACTTACCTGAACAACCTTGTTAGTTACAAGTTTTGTTGTTTTTTAAGCACTGATATAATCTAATTTACAAAGGTTAGATATAAATCTATGTTACGCCATTTATGTCTCTTGAAGTTTAACGAACTTGCGGTATGTATGTGTGGCGGCCGTAGCCACGAATAACTTGAACACTGACCTTTAGTCATTCTGATAACGAATGTCAAACAAGATGGATTATGGATCTCAAGATATTTTGTTGGCTGCCGTCATATAAGTCCGAAAGGTAACTTAGAATTTCATCATCAATGTTCCCCAGATCCTCAAATTACAGCGTTTAGTGGATTCAGGAAAATTGTACATATCGGTTACGAGCTCACATGTTAATTTAAATAGCATAATAGGAAAGTGTAAAAATGTTATGTATTAGAATCAATACAATCTGCAATAATGCAGAACGAAGAAACAAGTAGAAACGTAAAAAAAGGTAAAGGACGAATAAGCAAAAGTAACAAGATATGAAATTCAGAGGAGAATAATGCCCATACATATCGTCTCGATAAGTAGTTAGCCGTATTCCTCAGATCTTCTAAATACTGACTTCTTTCGTTGTGATAACCCTACTTAGTGTTTTCACTTTTCTATACGATTGGTATCATAATTTCCTCTCTCAACCAGTATACGCTTTCAGCTGAGTTGTACCACAGTTGGTTCAGGTTTTCCACTTTATAAACTTTTTGTCTGGCAGCCTCATCCACTAGCTACGAGTAGTTGTTTCAAGACACCTATATTCTAGCTTTCTTTTTCATAATTGCCAGCTTCAACGCCTACGTTTTGTAGTTGTGAAATAAGATGAAGTGGTTTGGACACATACTTTTACGACAAGAAACACTGCCGTAACCTACTAATTTGATATGCAGTAAGTAGCAAGTGCTAGTTTTTATTCTCAATACAAACAAAAACTGAAATACAGGTAAGCAAAATACATTTTAGAGTGATGAATAGGACGAGAGAGATTTAGGTTTTAATACAGTAATATGAGTTAACTCATCCACCACGTTCTTGGGCATGAGCCACACTAAGTATGAGGGCTGATGATACTACCCGGTTGTCTAAACCGAAATCGATGGAGGGGGGTTCGAACTTGGAACTTATTGGCTATATGTCGAATACTTTAACCATCAAGCCCTTCCCCACCAATAGATAAATAACGTCATGATACGAATTACCTACCTTCTTGTCACTCATTTTTAGGTGTAAATTGTAATAACACAAAGTGTAATTATCTTTCTCTACTTCTTTTAGACTATGTCTAGGAAAGTGTCAAATGCTGCCTGAAACTAATACAATACCACTTTATATTTTATGGATTCCTATTCTAAAAAAATTCTATAATTGTCTTACACATATTGTAGCATGCCATTTTCAATTAAATGATTAGTAGTTGTAATGATTATCCTTGTACAAATCAAATCATACTTTATATGTGGTGTTATTTGACATTTGTTTCAATTTAATGTTGAATATCTAAACACAAGCCAAAACGACCTTAATTTTCAGCTAAACAAGAGAACGAAACACTGTGGTTTATACTTATGTTAACAGTAATCATATTAGATTAAGATGTAGTTCTATTCAGTTGTGATCATTTATTAAATATAACATCTTGAAAACATGTTAGTGGCTGACAGTCCATACAAAACTGATAAGGTATAGCACATAATTTATGAATCTGCTTTTTAATTTGACCAATCCTTCCACTCGCTAGGTCGTTCTCAAAGTGGTTTGATCGTTACTTGAGTGAATATTTTGTACAGATCTTTACCAGTTTGTACATAATAACATTCCAATATTTTATTGACCTAATAGTTTTGAAATGAAAAGATATACATATTTACCCGTCTTTGTCATAACATTGGTTGAGGATTTCGTTTATATTTATAAGTTATGCGAATAACACTGGTACAAAAATTATGCTATCAGTTTGTCGTAATTCGCTTTTTGTCTGTCGAACAATAAATGGTTTGTAGATATTAATAAACGTTCCTCGTAACATGGTCTTTCACTCTGACTTTTAAGATTTATATACTAACACTACTCAGTGAGCAGATAAAACTGTATGTAAATTCTTATGTTCTATATCACAGCTTCGTACTAATGAATGGTTTCTTAGCCTTTATATCAGTCAGATTATGAGAAACCAGAAAGGGAATTAAGTGATATTCATAATAGTGGTGAAAATATGATAAAGCGAAAAATACGGAAATCGAGTGAAATAGACTTTCAAAAACACCAAGCATTCAAATATTCATGATCATATCAGAACCAATAGTAACTTGATTATTGAGTCGTATATATCGAATTGAACAAATAATTTAGTACTTGAAAATAGTTTGTGTGTGATACTTTATTATCTGTTAATAATCAGTTTACTTATAAAATTGTTTCCTACCTTTAAAGAAAATGAAACTCAAATTTACGTATTTAGACTAACATTTTAATACATATATGATACAGCACAACATCCTTTACAAAAATCATTGGCTAAAGTTACAACAATTTTGATTGGTTTAGAAAGGTTGAAACTAATAAATCCAAGAGAAAGGTAATAGTAAAAACCAAAGCAAGTAAACGACTGTGAGGTGAAATATTTGTCAGTAATAATCTTTCTAGCTAAATCACTTAAACACTTCAATAATCAATTTCTACTCGCTCAGACACAAATTAAGTCTTCACATTTCGGAAAGAAACATTAAGTAGATTCATGTTTGAATGATATATTATTTATATTTTCTCAAATCAAACATGATTTAAATTATATGTTCAGTGATGAACGAAAATTGTCTTCAGATTGGTTCTATTTTCATTTAGACTCGACTTACAGAAAAGGCTATACATATATATGGGTTGTGGTGGCAAAAATTAAGCCTGATAGTTGGGTCTTATAAGCACATAAGCTGGTGATTAACCTGTAAAATCAGTATCCTACCTTTGATTATACTTCAGAAGACATTTATTGATGTTTACTTTTGTAGTGATATCTTGCATAGTGGTATATTGTCTTACTATTTGTGCAGTCTTTTGAAAGAGATAATAATTTGGTCTCTTCAACAGTTAACAACTGACTGCGCTGAAACATTGTACAGTCTACTGGTATATGTGCCATGCATTGCGGACTGACTACACAACTATTGTAGTGCTAGACATAGGTTTCGTCCCGGTAGGAAGCGTTCTAGCATGACGTAACCATGGTTTCGTCAAAGACCAAATCCATAGTCTTTGGGTTTTGCAACAAACTTTACTTTCAAATCACTAAGCTGACATCCGAATACTTCAATTTCCAAACATTAGCCAACAGGATATTGAGCGACAGCCAACTAGTATGATCGGTGATATTTGTTTTATCATCAAACATAGTTGAATTCCACTTATCATAAGTTTTCCCTAGAACTTCAGAAATCCTTCTGGAAGTTAATTACCGGTTAGCAAAATTATTGTTGAAATGCGAGGTTGTGAAGACTGTTCAAGTTGAATATTGATAACATTGTACGTTGATTTTTACAAGTTTTTTTTTCAACTAAAAGTAGTCTATGGTGTATACTCACCATCTAGAATATTAGTGAAAAGTTCTAACACAAACCAAATTATTCCGTAACTACCCATCGTTAAAGGAATAAAAAAGAAAATAGAACACATTGATAAAGAAAATATTCTCCACATTCAACATTTATTGGCTATATTGTATTTGCGTTACTTTCCATTAATTAAAGAGGAAATAAAGCAACAAGAAACAGCCATGTACAGTTAATCCATCTAAATATAGGGATATTAATGTAAATTTCAATCGTTATATGTTCATTCCAAATAAAAATAGAATAAGCCAAGTCATTTGTCTAAATGAGAAAAAGAAATTGAAAAACTACTAAGAAAAACTCCGAGTGATTTTCTATGTAAATGAATTGTAATAGACTCTTTGTCGGAAAAAAAGAAAGAGGAAGTATTTGAATTCTATTTCTCACTGTGATGTTTTGCTTCTGTGTAATGTTCACAAAAATCAGAATGGTGCATATTTTAATAAATAGTCAATAATTTGTCGTGATTTATGCTCATTGCTATCAGTAATATATATATATATATATATCTGCAGAGGTATATATATGTTAATATGCTTATGTACAAAAGAATAAGGGAGTAGATAAGTGTTAAATTAATCAACAATTGACAGTGACATCATTATTATCCTTAAGGTTTGTAAAAATATCACAGCGGTACTAATTATATGAGTAGTGTACAACAACAAATAACATATTAAAATAGTATAGATAAAGATAAATATATTACTTAACATTTGTGATAGTTTCCATCTTCAGTTGTCTTTTTGTCTATTTTCTCATCAGCAAGCCTAAATTTGTGTGGGAGTAAAACGTTTTTGACGATAATCAAAACTAATACTAACAAATAATATTCAGAGATCTTATTGTGTATTCCTTTTGTCTTTGTTGTTCTTCTATGTGAAATACTAATCAACATAGTTCTACTGGATGTGATTCCATGAAAGCTATTGGTGCAAAATCAGTCGTTGGTACATTCATTGATTTTGTTCTGTATAAATTATTACGTGGAAGCTGATAATCAGACATAGTATGAGCACGATGTAATGTTAAATTTGGCACAGTAGTTGATTTACTTCTTCTTTGTGGGAAGTCTGATTTGATATTCATAATAATAAACGGATAAGTAACATAAAAATCATCCTCTAAGTCAGTGTTTTCATTAGGATGTAAAATAATCTTGATTTTCGTTACAAAATGATACTAACTGAAGGTAAATTGAAAACTAGAAAACACATATTACGTTTAATCTTAGTTTGGGATCCATAACCGTCGTATATCCATACTCCGAGGAAACGGTCTCCACAAACCTAACTTCATGAAGTATATGGTAACGAGATTATCCATATTGAAATTCGCTACACATTATAGTGATAAACGTGACCATAAACAGAACGGCTCATTGGTCACTTTGTATAATCATTATTTTTATACTTAGTTTATCAGTTGTTATCTGACAATATTCAATCCTACGACATGTTGACATTTAATCAGTTCAGGGACAGTGAGTTGTTATAACAGTATAAGTATATCTTACATCAATCACCTTGTCAGAATTAATATTAGCAAGTCTAGATCATCAGTAGTTTTAACAGAAAGCAAAGTTTGTTCAAAATATTGAGTCGATTATTAGATATACACATACGGATTAATGACAAATGCTATCAGTTTCATTTGTCAGATAAATCACTAGTTTATTTTAACTTATATGATTTGCTTGGTGTCTGGTAAATACTATAAGAAAAAATTAATGTGTGAAGTTTACTCCTCGATTATGAATAATATAACTGGAAAATTTTATTAAGTAACTGTGTTGACACTACTAATAGCTAATCAACACTAAATATAGTGTCAAATAAATTAGTTTAAATACCATTTTTCAAACGTTACTGCCTGGATTTTCTTTTGTCAAATATTGATAAGTGATTGTTAGCTAGCGCATCCAGGTCGGTTACTCTACGTAGTATAGTCTGACAACAAATTAATTACACCTTACCTATCTCCATAGCTTGTGGTGCTCAATCATAAAGAATTGAGTCCAATGTATATAACTCAGAATGATGACGAAATAGAAAATTTTCAGTATTAGGCGATTGGATGTAGCTCACAGTAAACTCTGAACACAATTTTCGTGTATTCGACAGCATTATGCACCCACAACCTTGCGTGAACTGATGCTTCAAGTGAAAGTCGGACTCAAGTCTTCGAGCTTCACATTCTGAGAGGCTATTGTGATGATAACTGACTGAATATCCGTTTACGGCCATAAGACTTAGCACAATGATATATCATTTTACAACGATAAAGTATTAAGAATCAATAATAAAAAAATCTAGCTTTTTTACCAACAGTAATTTCTCCGTGCATTTAATCATAACGTCTAAATAACATTGCACTGTCAAAATCAATAACTGTCAGGCTTAAATGTTTTAGTGAAATATGCAACTTCATTTAGGTAGGAGGCATTTCATAAGAAAAGATCCAAACTTCGTAAATATGTCTAGCAATTACGATGATTAATCAAGTACAGTCACTAAAATGTTAGTCGACAGTCCATGTAAATTTCGAATCTGCCAAATATTTAAAATATTCAAGCTTTTATATAAAAATCATATTAAAAATTATCGGTAGACTGATTGATAGTATAAAAATAACAAAACTCAATTAAACATGCATATAAATAACTAACTGTCTTCCTTTTTTCAACTTACTGTCCCATATTTTAATCGAACACGTAGTCTATGTTCACCACTATTGCCATTATTACTGTCAGTATTTTGAACATCTAAAGACAACTCTTTCGCCGATAATAATTCTGAGATTGAATTTTTTATTGGTACATTTAAAGGATTCGTTTTTGTTTCTGCGATAGAATAATACGATCCAGATCGAGTGTGAATATCTGAAACTGATTGTGATAGTGTGGAACAATTTGATTTTTGATACTCAAGTGATAGACCATCTATAATTCGTGATATCGACTCATGAGATGTTTGTTTTTTGTGGGTGTCTGTTTGTCCAGATTGTACACTCTTATTGTTTTGTGTGAGTTTTAATGGAAGAGTCATTTTGATTGGATTTATTTGTAGGCTTTTATCATTTAAACTTTGAAATCGTCTAGCTCTGCGTTCACCTGTTTTAAATATGAAAAGGAAGAAATATGATGTGTAATTTCTAGTTTTAAATGAATGGTTCCATAAACATTGAACGCCCAGTATACACATAAGATATCAAATATAAATTCAATGCGCAAAACCATTAGTGATAGTAGGAGTGAAGGTAGTAGTCATATCGTAAAGCAGTGATTTAGTGGTTGGGTCGTCCAGTTGTTAATCACTCGGTTACCGCATAAAATCCTATTCCATCTAATTTAGTTTAAGCAGTTGGGGTAGTATCACTATCCTCCAACTTGATGTATGATTTTGAACCAAGAAAATGAATATTCACTTGGTAAATGAGTTACATTGGTGACTGGATTAAATGCTGCCTAATTAGCATCCGGTAAACTAACTCCACGTTCTTTGAGGTAATAATAGAAATTATCAAAGATAAATAGAGTCAAAACAATCCTAAACGAAATCATTGTTCAATCAAGTTCAGACATTGATTCTATTCAGAGTGGAATGCATTTGAATTGAGGCATGTGATATATATATATATATATCAGTTGCAAATTTTGAGATAACTTCATGCGTTTCATTCTAATCTAAATTCTTAAACATTCAATAATATGAAATTGTAGTTATGACTGTCAGATCTAATAGTGAATATTTGGTCTCATTTACATGTGATTTTGATTCATGGTTGATTGCTTACTTTATTGAATGTCTCTGAAGAGTTTACTCACTTTTACTATTCACTTTACTCAATCGACTTGATCAATCAAGACTTTTCAAAAGTCATCCTTGGGTTAATTACTAATGAGTGAGCCATTATTATTAATTCAAGTGAATATCAAAAGGTCCTACTTCGTCACCGCTGTGGAGTTCAGTAGGTGTTATTAGAAGGGCAACAAGTCATTGATTTCCAGTGGTTCTGCATCTACTGATGTTCATAAGCTCTAAACTACATGAAGCGGTCACAGAAGTACGTAAATCAGCCAAAATATAAAGAAAAATGCAAACAATGCATTATATATATAATGGTAATTTAACACACACATAGAGATAGTTGTTTACTGTCTGTTGTTGTAGATTTTGTCATCAATAAGTTAGGATTGGATTCAGATGAAACAGATTTTAAAGAATTGGAGTTCAATAATAATGGTGGTTGAACCTTCAGTGACAATTTCTTAGGGGGCAATGGTGGCGGAACGTTAGCACAAGAAGAACGTGGTACAATTATTCCATTACTATTACCAGTGAGTTGATGACGACTACGCTGACTAGATGAATTGGTAGTTATAGGTATTTTCAATGGTCGGCATAAAGATGTTCCATTTCTTGGTTTATCCAAGTTCATGTTACTATTACGCAAATAACCATTCACTGATTTATTTAAACATTTGTCTAAATGTTGAAGAGATGTAGTTGAACGTTTGACCTAAAAAGAAAGAAAGTATTATGTTAGAAGAAAAACAACAATACATTTATTATTTAGACGATAATCATCATTATCATGACAAATATTTAAAGATGGTTTAAAAAATGAGAATAAACATCATTTATCAAACAGGTATTCAATATAAAATTTATATTAGTTTTAGAGAGCATTTATTAATTATTAATAAGATGGTTGATTGTGTAGAGATGTTGAAATGACAAATAATTTTCAACATTAATTAACATTAGTTAAAAGACTAGAAATTACTGACTGACAGAAATGTTTCGTTCAAGTTGGTGACTAGTTAACAATATACCCCATGATAATGTGCTCACAATAGACTAGTTTCAAATTGGATTTCATAAAATGTTTAATTGAAAATTTTCATGTTGTGAAGTTAATGAAATAAAACTTGAGACGATAAATTGCTGAAGGTATTGAAAGAGAATGTACATATGTTGATACAGTCAGCTGATGTAAGCAAACAATGCATGTTTAACTAACCAATAATTATGCAATATCTTGAGTTATTTATTCATAGAAATCAGCAAAACATGCTTTTGAGCAGGGAATTATTATTTTTAGTTAGAATATGTGTCAAAGTTTTCATTGAATGAAATCACATAAAAAGACACAAATGATAAGAATATTTAGATGAAATCCTTCTCTCTGAAGAACTCGTAGTTAGTGAAGTTTATAATGATAAGTCAGTCATTATTTCTTATTAACACTTTATAATTAAGGATAATGTATATCAATTAAACAATAAAACATGATTCGTGAGAAAGTAAATACACATGCGGTCGATGAGAAGAGATAAATACGGTCAATCAGTATAAGAATTTTATTGAGATAAATCACAATGAAGTGAAATAAAAACGATATAAATGAACATTTCCAGTTAATCAGTAATATAACCGTTTATGTAGAGTTGAATGCACTAGATAAATTCATATATTTGTATTATTTATTTACTGTAGTGTTACAATATAAGCAAACATAACTATTTTATTGTACATAAATCGAAGAAAGTGGAAAGAAATAATAAAGAAAACAATAGACGTCTACTAGACTAATAACAGCTTTTGATTTATGTAAAGAAATATTTGAAGCAACAGTTAAATTATAATAATTACGTAACTTGTAATAAATTCAAACATAAAAAATCTTATCTCACATATAAGTATCAATGCCAAGGTTGGACTTGATAGTTTCAAATAAGTTGAGTATTGGGTAGAAAATAATAAATATATTTTTGTGATATCCCAATAAGTACATAGTTGTATTTTCGAAATCCTGTGACTTAATGTTAATTACTTTTTCAAAATGAATGAATAACCAGAATCTGTGTTAGTTTTATTTCGGTTATTTACTTTGAAGAAGTGGCTAACATGAAGTCACAAAACATCTGAAATACAATTTTCTACTCATTGGGATATTACAAAAATATATTTATTAAAATTTCACATAAAATTTATTGTTAATCGTTCAAACAAAAATTTCATAAATTTTGTTACTTGAGAAAAGTCAATTACAAACTCTAAGTATATATCAATTAATTATCTAAACAACGTACATTCCTTTCTCTATACTTGCACCTCTAACAATGAGTTTTGACATTTTGTATGAAATAAACTTTGTGAATTATTTTTGAACTACTAATAAGTAAGTGTATATATTTTATCTAACGTTTTTCCACTACCCAATAAGCCTCAACACCCAATGTTTATAACATTATGATAAATAATAAAAGAAAAGAGAACGCTACGTAGTAAAGAGAATTACACACTGAAAACTCTAAATTTTTCAGACCAAAAGTATTGTGATGCATAAATAGTTAGCGTACAACAAGTGCATATATATTTAACACCGAGTAAACAGTAAATTCTAAATGACATTTGTAGGCATATCATCAATGGCATTTCTATGACAGACAAATGACATATAATCTATCGTAATGAAATAATATTCCAATTAAAACAGATTTAATTTAACTCAAATTAATATGCGTTTTCGAAAAGGGGAAGAACGTGGTAGACAAGTTGTTTAACTACTGAACAACTACATCTGTGATTGTGTATTTGTGTATATAGGTGTGGTGTAAATCTCAACTGAATATATATATATATATATATATATAATTAGCCTTCATTTAGAGTGTATCTATTTGTTAGTTTTCTCTGAGAAAATATGTCTCAATCTTCTGAACAAAATAAGACTATGAACAGCTTTGTAAGCAGCGTTAGTTACAAAATATTTGAATTGCAAATAATGGTGAATTTGTCAGACAATTACTTGTCTTATTTTCCGTACTTCATTCTTTTCTTGAGGAATTTCAATAAAATAAAATAATTATCATTATAGTATGAAGTCATTTAAATTCCTATTTATTCTGTGGAATGTCTTCAGATATCTATTTACAATCAACTATAATAACAATAATTACGTGATAAAGTGTGAGCTGGCGGCTGGATGCTTATGATTTAATATCGTGTTTCGTGATAAGTATGGACCAAAGTTCGAGACAGTATGTTGGAAAGGGTAGATATATCAAAGGCGATAGATATGTGAAAACCTTAAGAAAGATTCATGTAGTTATTTATGGCATAGGAATATTGAACAAGAGGAAATCATAAAACGCATGGAGTAGAGGTTATTAGCATTAGAATATAGATGTCCATGCATAAAAACGATTTACTAATAGTGAGCAGTAGATAAAGGAAAAAGAATTTCATTAAAAAAACTTATTTCATATAATCGATTAGTGATAATTTTCCATTTTCGATTGAGGAACACACGCAAAATAAAATGGCTTCATATTATTCTGCTGTAATTGTTACTCATAGTTTATTAAAAAATATAAAAATGTTCAAACTATGGATTCAGTAAAAATATGAAAAGGAATAAAAACTATTGTGAAGTGAATATAACTAGGTAGATATTCGCAAAATGCTTTATTTAATAAACTTCTATACGGCATTAGACTTCGTTGGATTGTCATTTATACGGGTTATTCGAAGTTTATAGATTAGGAAGTTTAATATACGACTACAGTCGATCAAAACACTCACTGCTAATTTGCTAGAATATAGGCTTTTACCAACTCTGGTTCTCAGTAATGCTTTAAAATCACTTGTACATTTAAAGTGATATAGCTAGAAAACAATTCGATACTTAAACACTTTTCTTCAGTCGTAATTGTTGTTAACATATTTTTTGATGGTGCAGATTTTCATTCAACTTGCTGTGCACTTTCTATGTACAGTAAAGCAAAGCAAATTTTGTCTTAGTTGATCTGTATGAAAAGGGAAGGGAGAAAAAAAGTGACAAACAAAAATGAATTACTAACCCAGTCCAAAGATGAAAGATGCGGACGTGGAGGTAACGGTGGAGAAGATGCAGTTAAGCTATCAGTGGACGGGCATGTTTTGCGTCTAGAGTGCGTTAGTGAACATGTTTCACCGCATACTGATGAGATAACACCAGCATCTTTTTCGCTTTTGATACGATTTAATTTTGCGAATGATTTTGTGAAATCATTTTTTGGCAGTGATACTGATTGTTTTGTTTCATTAACAAGAGTTTGTGATTTCATTTGATGTATACTTTTCAACTGAATATGATTATTATTATGAAGAAAACGAGGTGGAGGAGGTCGTGGTGGCGGTTCACGTTTTAATGGTTTATGGGATTCCATATCAGATAGATTAAAATGATTTGATGGACTACTGGATGATTTGAATGAAGAATCTGAAGAACTATAATAAAAATTTGAGAGAGAAATTTGTAACAGAATCTGGTAAAACCAATGGACTGCTATTAGAAAGTTATATATTCTCTTTCTTATCATGTTGGTAAATGGGAAACATCAATGAAATACTTTTATCGACCTCAATTGGTTAATTGTACCATAGTACGTATTTAACAAATAAATGAAAAACGCAAAATATATAGGTGAATTAACTTGAATACTTCGAAACAGTTTAAAAACTGCCAACCATGGAAAAAAGTCGTTATTCCAAAAAACAACCGCATAAGAAAATATACAACTCTGAGAAAGGCACAAGGTCTTCGAGTAGTGTAACGGCTCTCTGCGGTCCGACGTTCAATGACGTTGCAAAATGCTTTGAGATTTTGAAACTACACGTCGACCAATTAGGACAGAACCTAAATAAATCAAGTGAATTTCATCAGAAAAACAATGAAATCTGTTATTTTGTGGTAGTTTTGCGGAGTTCATTAGTTTACCATACCTTAGTATAGATTTGCTAACTTGAATACTATGAAAATATCGCTACCGAATATCATTTACCAGTGTGAATAGGTTCCTTTCTGGGTCCTTTTTCCATGGAAGTAAATATCTAGGTGGAAAATCCTTAGTTGCTTACATATTCTGAGTGCTAACGTCTCTGACGTAAAATCGAGTCGACCAGAGAGCGTGAGTTCTCTTAAGCTTACATGTACACCTTGCTGACGAATGCCAAGCAGCAGGAAACTTAGGTCCAGGGTTTTCTGACGATTACTTCCAACCACTACCTTACATCTCGACGTAGTGCACACGATTTTAAAACACTCAAACTAGTGCCCACATTGAAACTTGATCAATATAGGTCAATCAGCACTAGGAAGGACTTGATATACGTAACAGTAGCCACTACTTAGTGATCGATCAATTTTAAGTAAACTATCTTGCTTATCTGGCCTATACTCCTCCACCAGGGATAACAGGAGTAAGTAAGTATCTTGCTTATCATTATCAACATCTAGAGGGAAATCATGTTAATGAATCAGCTATTAAAACTCAATTGTATGGACGAAGATATTCTTGTCAATAATTTCTCATCAGCTTCTACAATTATAAATCCAAATTAATAATTCATAAAATTTGCCAGATTTAAGGCAGAGTATATCATTTAAAATTGTAATATGTGAATCAAGAATCCCTATCTAGTATATCTAACCTAATTCATATTTATTCTGATCATTTATCGCACAATTTCATTTCGCTTATAAACTGATTCAAGTTAACACTTTATATTAAATAGCCCCAACATAACCGTTTGATTTGATTTTATATGATAAACAACAATTCTCAATCCACATATTACAATTTCCAAATGATGTACTCTGCCTTAAATCTGGCCAATTTTATGGATTATTAATTTGGATTTATAATTGTAGAAACTGATGAGAAATTATTGACAAGAATATTCTTCGTTCATACAATTGTGTTTTAATATAATGGGAATTTTTCAGCGAATCAGCTATTATTTAGGTGATAAGTACACAAAAACAGTCATAATATATATAATGGCTAGAAGTAGACCGTTTTGTTGGAATTTCCTGTTCAAAGACGAAAAAGGCAGAAGGACTGAATTACAACCACAACTTGAATGAAATATGTATTTTTTATTGCTTTTATACCTTTGAACAGTTGTAATACGCTCCTATAATGAAAGCATTTTTTTTAACGGTGTTTTCAACACTGATGAGCTTATCGTAGCCAATGGAAAGCTTCCTGAAATACGAAAAACATTTATCAGCTTGACAAATAAACAAAATAAAGTTATGCGTTTTATGAGGAAAGACTCTGACTATTTTTTACGTGTGACCACAGTAGATATACATATGTTTTATAGATAAGTTTGATCACAGCATCGAGATAAAAATAAATGGCTAGGAAAGTCATTTTAGCACAGGTAACTAAAAAATTGAGTTTGTCACTTATCAACTTCAACGACGAATAGAAAATCCCATGTTTAGATATGATGTACTTTCTGTGGATCGATTAAGACGTAGAACTACAGTGGGAATAAAAATAGAAAATCATCTCAACTTACAAATCTCTGAATAATTCATCAAAAATAGCAGTTACATAAGTTATATATTAACAATTAATAAAATAAACATAGGGCTAAACTAATCACCAGGGTGAATACTCATGCCTCCTTGAATAGACAAAAGAAAGAACCATCACCTTAATAAGACTTGGCAATATATATACTATGACTTACCGACTGTCACCAGTTTGTATTTCCAACTGGTTATTTTGATAATCTCTAAAAAATTGATTCCTACTAAGAAGAGTCCCAGATGCAAAACTAGGCGTAGAATTAGCAAAACAAGAATTCGGACGATTTCGATAAGACGAATGATCTGTATCCTGCATACGTGCCATTATTGGTGTATGCTTTGGATTTATATCCATTGAACCAAACTTATTATTTTTATACGAAGCCAGTGATTGTTCAGCCTTTTTTATTTAAGCGAAATGAAAGAAACAAAAGAGGCTTTAGGTAATTAAGTGTTAACCGAGAATGGAGCGAAAAACAGATAATCCAATTATATACCACAAAGCCTGTATAATCAACCACTACTATATCGTTACTTCCTGCTTAATTATAATTAGCTACATGTTTGTGATATCTTGTAGAGGTAGACTTCCTAAAACAAATCTATGATTATATATCAGATCAAATATTGGAAAAGGATTTCCATCCTAATAAAAACTCATCAACTATTTATATCATCCCCTCTAGAAGATAAAAAATGTATAGAAAAATGTAGGGAAGCTTGTGTGCCATTCAAACCAACAAAAATATGATTCATCAAACCGATTTTGAGGGGTTTGTAGGTGAGCACCTTTAAGGAGTCACGCACCAGGACGAAACGGTTGTCCATTACTCCCAAGTTTTTTAACTGTAATCCAACTGAAATCAATCTGTCAAGAATGAAACCTGAAAATTTAAATATTTCTCAGAGTCTAGAAGTAAAACATTCAATAGTTCTGGGTACTAACCTCCGTTTATATTACGCAAAAAGTATATATACTATAAGTGCATGTATTTCTAACATTCTATTAATAATAGCTTTCGGTTACACGTTTTTCGTGTGAAAACTAGTGATAATACCCGTTTACCTCAACCTACATAGCGTGAAGTTTGAACTTATGGTCAATTTTTTGAAAGTAGAGATCTTTTGACTACTAAGCTACCCCTTGATCTCATCAAGACATGACCTGGGAAGTCGTAACGGATAACCATTCGCATGATACTGAGACAGTTTTGTGTGATACGTGGTGAATTGACTAACTTTAGAAGATCTATCACATTGTAGTACTTTATTGATCAACAAGATAACAATACAGTTATCCTTTACATAATTTTAAATAGCAGTTAGTTAACACAAGATTTCCAGCTGTAATTCTTAAATGATACCAATTATTTATCTATTTTTGACCCATATTATTCGAATTATGCAGAATATTCATCTTATTGATGCTGAAAAATAACTATCTTCCATTAATACCCTTCAGGGTTAGATTTAGTTTATGATAGGAGTTAGAGTATTGTTTAACATATATTAACAATATTGAAAGTAGAGTATATGAAATATTACAACTTTCTTTTATATCAAATGTTGTCATTATTTTATCTAGGGAGTCAAGTAGATATTCAACTTTTAAGCGCAACTTGTCATTAGATAGATAGAGCTATCAAACTGTAGTTTAAGTTGAAGTAGTATAGAATGATAGGTTGAAATTTAATCGTTTAAAAACTAGTTAAACCATCAAGTCACTTTTTTCAACACTATCAAAATGACAGAAACATTTTACACTTTAAAAATGACAACGTAGTAACTGAAGTAATTAAAAATATCAGAAAAAATCATGCCTTTCGTGATAAAATATTCCAGGTAAAAGAACTTTCAGATTTAACACGTTTCGTTGACTCTGGTAATCCTTTTTGACAAATACGACCAGGATTTTTCAACTTTTTAGCACGTAACCATTCTGGACTGCCAAAATTATATTTTTTACGCCCAAGCTTTAAATCGTATTTAGTAGAACTTGATGCAATATTTGATAATGAACTTGTAAATATTGGCCCAAATGATACGGTGGCTTTATAGTGATATGTGTTTTTAGCTTGACCGCGTAATTGAGACGCACGATTTTCAAATAAGTCAATTTTTTGATCTGGTGGTCGTCTGGAACGTTGATCTAAAAACTAATTATAGATTGGAAATGAAAACACGACAGTGATGTTCTGTAAGATTTCGTTACTACATTCAAAATCGATAAACACATGATTTGGTTAATATTAAGATTTCAAGACTGATATTAGTTGAGGAATAATTGTCAAATCAAATGGGTAGGCAGCGTACAACTAATTTAGCCTAGTTTAAGATTTCTCGAAGGTCCACGTCATCAACATCTTTCTTAACGATAGCGTATGATGCCATAAAGAACACTTTTATGAGTCAAATTTGTGATAGAAACTGGAATTGTTTTCTAGCCAGACAAGGTGCAATATATTTTGCTGGTGATTTAATAGGATCTTCCAGCTGTGCAAAACCAATTTATCAACTAGAGTACAATTTAGAACAGATTGTAATAAAAATGTGCTTAATTTTGTTATATTGTTGAAAGCAAGCAAAAAACTAACCACTCTACCATAACAAGAGTCGCTCGGATATATATTTCATTTGATGCTTTAGTAATTTATTAACCTTAACTTCGTTTCATCAGCTAACTTTGTGTCCTCATTGTCAGTGAAAGTACAAATGACATCTTGAATGAGAGTGAAAATATCACATAAATACATAAACATAGTCAAAATTATTTTCCAAAATCATAAATTGACAAAAAATCTCAATATTAATTAATGAAAATTCCAAAATGTAGAACGTTAAAAGTCTACTGCTTTTAAAATATTTCACAATGAGAAAAAGTAATCAGACTAGACACATTAACATGTTAAAACAATTTCAATCATTGAAAAAGACTGAATACTAACAACCTTGAAGTACAACATTTGTTATGATACTTATCAATGTGATCTTTAATTCTTAACGTATTTATATATAACATATGATAGATAATTTTATCACAATGATGATTTTGCTAACCAGTTTTCACAATCATTATCAATAACAAATCACATTTATTGTGAATAGATTACTGATGTGATGTGTTAACAAAGTAAACATTTTTTTGATTTAATGAGATAGTGAATAACGGTAGAATTCACAATGTATATTTTGTTCAATTTGAAACTTGTCCGTTGGATGTAATTGCGTCTCAGTGTTAATATTCATGATGAGGATGGAAACCAGTACCTCAAACAACGCAAGCAATAGAATTCTTTACAAATGAGAGTAAATACATTTTTTGAAAGTTTCATCATTAGTTGACAGGATATCATGAAGTGTAACAATGACTGATACCATATTTGTCTAATTCAATTTTGAAATTTTTGTGAAAAAGAATCTAATTACACTAAAAAATATTGTGGTTAAATTTATTAATTTTTTTAATTTTAACATAATAGACTACTAATTATCCTTTTAAAACTGCTATATCTAATTATTATTAAATGTAATGTGTTATTTATATGCATAATTCTGGAATATAGGCAGTTTTGAAACCGAACGACACAGTGAATGATGTTGATGTCAAAGAAAAAGATTCAATATAATGAAAAATTACGTAATAGATGTTGTAAATAAACTTAGATCAATTTGGTTAGATGGCTAAACTTTTATGTAATTCTTTAGATATTAGTGACTTTCTTCATTTTTTGAGGTTTCATAATAGAAGGTCAATCCATAAGGTGTCCATAAATATTTTGACACACATCGATAAATATAAGGATATTATTAGTGTCATTTACAGTGCTACGTAGTTAAAGACATCAAACAATAAATTATTCTAGTTTGTGATAGACTCTAATTCTTGACAAATAATCTTAGGAATGTCAACTGATCTTTTTAAAAAGTAAAATTCTCATTTCTCGTGTGTTCAATATAGTGTTGTAAAATGTATTTTATCATTCAGGTTTGAGATTTTGTTAGCTATGGAAATAAGCCGACATTACTAAACACTAACATGTTTGATAGTTATTAAAAAGCCATATTAACTGTTAATACCATTAAACCGAAAAACGTATGTACGATAACATACATTGAAAGACTGATCAAATTTATCAGTAAAGGGGTTGTGGAGATTGTTACGTTTTTGATTGAGACCATGAACCGATTGGTGTTAAACCACCACTGAAAACCTGGAAGCACTGAACGGCCGTCTCGTCCTATTGTGGGACTCAGCAGTGCGCATCCACGATCCAGCTCACGAGATTCGAACCCAGGGCCTTCAGCCTCGCGCGCGAACGCTTAACCTACTGGACCACTGAGGGGATTGTCGGAGTTCTAGTGAGAAGCCGTGACCAGTGGAACGAATCCGTGTCGAGTAGGGACAGGCACCTACCTCAGTACAATGAAAGATGGTCGCGCAATCTGGTGGATTGGTTGAGGTTAGACATCAACACCATTGGATGCCGGCTCAGTGGTCCAGTAGGTTAAGCGTTTGCACGCGAGACTGAAGGCCCTGGGTTCGAATCCCGTGGGCGAGACTGTGGATACGCACTGCTGAGTCCCACAATAGGACGAAACGACCGTCCAGTGCTTCCAAGTTTGCAGTGATGGTCTAACATCAATCGGTTCATGATCTTGGTCAAATTTAGTTCAATACAATAGACATCTTTATGATTTGTGATAAATAATCAAAAGATTATTTTAAAAACAACAGTTAGTAATTATGAAAGAACTTAGAATGAAGGTGAACTTGAATGAGTTACCTCAGACATCTTACCGATAGAACAAGAAAAGAAACCAGTTAAATAAAGAGCAAAAAAGGCTGAATAGTTTTAATTATAATGGAAAGCTAAAGAAAATATGAGAAATACAATTTAAATTGAAAAATAGAGTGAAATACTTAAAAAAACAGCAACACTTTAATTTGAATTCTAGAAGTCAACAAAGAATGAATGTAATGGTGTCATTGTGACTGTGATTTCGCATTACGTCACCTGAATAAATGACTTAATGCCATTGTTATTTTCAAAAATACTTTTATCTGAAATTACGGTGAATACTCTATTAACTACTAACTAACAACAAAAAGTTTGCAAGAATATACATAATACTATCAAAAAGCAGTAACATAGTTCAATAAAATGCATCATTGTTTGTACTAAACGTTTATTACTTGAAAGCTATACACTATAATTTGTTAAGAGCATACAAATAAAAGTAACATCATCACTAATCACATGTGCATCATACTTCAATGTCGAAACCAATCAAATAAACTGTCAGGAATTTTCTGAGAAAAAAAATGACATCATGAGGACCGAAAAACTTCAGCTATCACTTTATATACTGGTGTAGATTTGTGTGTGAACGTCAAATTATTTGCATGACTAAAATCTTTACGTAATCACAAAAATTCATAAATCTTCAGGTGGTTAACACATTTAAAAAAAATTGTGACATAACATCTATTAATGATATAATCGAAACCTAAATATAGAAAATTTATATGAATTGAAAGACTTACCAACTGAATTGTTTGTGATTCAAACATAGATTTCAGGAATGATTCTAAACCAGGACAAGATTGGCAAGCGATAAGAGCGTTTAAATCTACTTCAGGATTTGCATCTCGTCGAATTAAACATTCTGTATAACAGCCTATTCGTAGACAAAGAACAAAACCGGTTGGAAAATTAATTTAGATTTTTCAAGTAATTATTGGATATATCGAAAATAAACAAGTAGAAATGAATAGATTATTAAGAATATTACAGAAATTCCCAGTCTTAGCAACAGTGGATAGTAATAGTAGTGTGGTGTATGCCACTCATGTCAACAGGCACAAGTAATATGTAACACTAATCGGAAGTGGAAAACCTGACAACAGAAGGCTAAGAATATCGAGTTGAAGAGAATAGAAAGGAATTATGAATTGGAAGAACCATAAACAATGTGAAGAACAAATGATGAAAATTTGCAAATGAAATATTCAATTTATGGTTTCCAAATTTTTAGGAAAGATTTCTGTGATTTTGCTATAAACAATAAATTGGTTGTAACCACCTGTGTTCTCGCTCACTAGAGCAGTATGAAATAATCTTCTTAAAAAGTAACATATCGTGAGGACTTGAAAATAGAATATAATTCTTGGTCGCCAAACTGATTTTGTAGCAGGTTCACAGTTTAATCCATTTACTGATTACTTAAATACTCCTCGTCGAGGATCATAGCCCACCCGCCAGCATTCTTCATCCAACTCTACCCTGGACAATTCTTTCCAGCTCTTTCCAGTTGTTATTCATCATTTCCATGTTTGATTTCAATTCTCAACGAAGCGTATTGTTTAGCCTTCCTCTTTTTTGTTTTCCTTCAGGATTCCAAGTTAGGCCTTGTCTCGTGATGCAGTTTGCTTACCTCCTTAATGTATGTCCTATTTACTTCCAACATCTTTTCTTAATTTTCTCCTCAGATGGTATCTGGTTTGTTCTCTTCCACAGTAGGCTGTTGCTGATGGTATCCGGTCAACGGACATTAAGTATTCTGCGTAGACAATAAATACTCGTACTTTTTCAATGATAGATGTAGTAGTTATTCAAGTTTCAGCTCCATACTGATAAAAGACATGAAAATGTTTTATCTAAGAGTATACAATTTCCATCATACCTTTGATTGCTATATCTTAGTATTAGTTTAGAAAAACACCACAGAGATACAATTATTCTACATTACACATTGAATAGGTTTTATTTTGGGAAATAAGTTTTTTCTCAGTCAAAAGTAGTTGCAAATGAGAATTTTCAATAACATACATCACTAAGTAAGAATATGAATTGAAATTTATAGGAACTAAAAAACCAAATAAAAAAGCAAGTTAAGTTTGAAATGTTTTAGTACAAAAGAATCCAACTGAATTTATGAGTAGAGTATCATATTAGAAACATGTTTGATAACTCAAAAATATGTACGACATATTAGACGCAATGAGAAAAATAAAACTGTGAATCTGACTAAAAGAAAGTTAATGAAATGATAGATTTTGAATGAGAACCAAAAAAATTGTAAGTTGAATACACAATTTCTTAAATATAGCTCTTGTCAGAAAATTTACATGTAGCTCTGAAGTTCTTACTTACTTACTTACTTACGCCTGTTACTCCCAATGGAGCATAAGCCGCAGACCAGCATTCTCCAACACACTCTGTCCTGGGCCTTCTTTTCTAGTTCCATCCAATTCTTGTTCATTTTTCTCATGTCTATTTCCATTTCTCGGCGTAATGTGTTCTTTGGTCTTCCTCTTTTCCTTTGGCCTTGAGGATTCCATGTGAGGGCTTGTCTTGTGACGCAGTTGGGTGCTTTCCTCAATGTGTGTCCTATCCACTTCCAGCGCTTCTTCCTGATTTCTTCCTCCGCTGGGATCTGGTTTGTTCTCTCCCACAGTACGTTGTTGCTAATAGTGTCCGGCCAACGGATCCGAAGTATTTTGCGTAGACAACTGTTAATAAACACCTGTATTTTCTGGATGATGGCTTTCGTAGTTCTCCAGGTTTCTGCCCCATACAGTAGAACTGTCTTGACATTTGTATTGAAAATCCTGACCTTGGTGTTGGTTGACAGTTGCTTTGAATTCCAGATGTTCCTCAGTTGTAAATATGCTGCTCTTGCTTTGCCGATCCGCGCCTTCACATCTGCATCAGATCCACCCTGTTCATCAATGATGCTGCCCAAATATGTAAAGGTTTTTACATCTTCCAAATCTTCTCCGTCAATTGTGATTGGATTGGTGCATGCTGTGTTGTATCGGAGAATCCTGCTTTTCCCTTTGTGTATATTGAGACCTACTGCTGCTACACTGGTCGTCTTCTCCTGCATTTGTTGTTGCGTTTGGGATAGAAGGGCCAGATCATCTGCGAAGTCTAGATCGTCCAACTGCATCCTAGATGTCCATTGTATCCCGTGCTTCCCTTCAGACGTTGACGTCTTCATGATCCAGTCGATCACCAGGAGAAAGAGAAAGGGTGAGAGTAAGCAACCTTGCCTGACACCGGTCTTTACTTCGAACGAGTTTGTCAACTGTCCTCCATGCACAATTTTGCAGTTTAATCCATCATAGGAATTCCGTATGATATTGACTATCTTCTGAGGCACGCCGTAGTGTCGAAGAAGTTTCCATAGTGTTGTTCTGTCCACGCTATCAAATGCCTTTTCGTAGTCAATGAAGTTGATGTAGAGTGATGAATTCCATTCAATTGATTGTTCCACAATGATCCGTAGAGTTGCGATTTGGTCTGTACACGATCTATCCTTACGGAATCCTGCCTGTTGGTCACGAAGTTGGGCGTCTACGCAGTCCTTCATCCTGTTTAACAATACCCTGTTGAAGACTTTTCCCGGTATTGAGAGAAGAGTGATGCCCCTGTAGTTATCACAGTTGCTGAGATCGCCTTTCTTCGGTATTTTGATCAGAAGTCCTTCTTTCCAGTCTGTTGGTACTTGTTCCTCATCCCAAATCTTATTGAAGAGAATGTGGAGTATCCTTGCAGTTGCCGCTACGTCTGCTTTTAGTGCCTCTGCTGGATGTTGTCCGGTCCTGCTGCTTTGCCACTCTTGATTTGTCTGATGGCCATGCTGATTTCTTCAATTGTTGGTGGGCCAACATTGATTGGGAGGTCCGTGGGTGCTGCTTCGATGTTGGGTGGGTTCAGTGGAGCTGGTCGATTCAAGAGTTCTTTGAAGTGTTCTACCCACCTGTTTTGTTGCTCTTCAATGTTGGTGATTACCTCGCCTTCCTTGCTTTTCACTGGTCGTTCTGGTTTGCGGCGATTTCCAGAGAGTTTCTTTGTCGTGTCATATAATTGTCTCATGTTTCCTTCTCTTGCAGCCTTTTCCGCCGTCGTTGCTAAATCTTCCACATATTTACGTTTGTCGGTTCTGATGCTCCTCTTCACTTGTTTGTTTACTTCTGTGTATTCAGCTTGTGCCTTGGCTTTTTCTGCTCTTGTTCGACTGGTATTGATTGCTGCCTTCTTGTTCCTCCTTTCTTGAATCTTATCCAGTGTATCAACAGTGATCCATTCCTTGTGATGGTGCTTCTTGTGACCCAGGACCTCATGACATGTTGAAGTGATTGCCTCTTTGATCCCCTTCCAGTTGCTCTCCACAGTAGTTCCTTCTCCATTGAGTAGATCATGAAAGGCCTGGAACTTGTTGCTGAGGACTATCTTGAATTTGTTGAGTTTGTTAGTATCCTGAAGAAAGGCCGTATTGAACTTTTGTGATATTGTCCGCCCCGTTGTCCAGTGCTTCTTGAGTTTCAATTTCATCTTGGCGACCAGCAAGTGATGATCTGATGCTATATCAGCTCCTCTCTTGGTTCTCACGTCCTCTATAGTCCTCCTGAACGTTTTGTTGATGCAAATATGGTCGATTTGGTTTTGCGTATAGTGATCCGGTGAAGTCCATGTGGTTTTGTGTATGCGTTTATGTGGGAATATGGTGCCGCCTATGACCAGTTTATTGAAGGCACATAGATTTGCAAATCTCTCACCATTTTCGTTCCTTTCTCCCAGTCCGTGTCGTCCCATGATGTCTTCATATCCAGTGTTGTCCGTTCCAACCTTGGCGTTGAAATCTCCCATCAGAATAGTCAGGTCCTTTGTTGGGCACTTCTCGACGATTGACTGCAGCCTATTGTAGAATTGATCTTTAGCGTCTTCATTGTAGTCGTTGGTAGGCGCATAGCATTGGATGATGTTCATTGAAATGCCCTCTTTCTTTGTTTTGAAGGAGGCTTTGATGATCCTTGGTCCATGAGATTCCCATCCTATAAGTGCATTTTGCGCTTGTTTGGACAGCATCAATGCAACTCCTTGTGTATGTGGTGCATTTTCATCTTCATGGCCGGAGTATAACAGGAGCTCTCCTGTAGTTAGTCGTTGTTGTCCAACTTGTGTCCAATGTGTTTCACTGATCCCAAGTACCTCTAGGTTGTATCTTCTCATTTCTGCAGCAATTTGGAAGGCTCTCCCGGTGTCCCACATTGTACGAACATTCCATGTACCTAAATAAATGGTCGCTCTGGTTGTCAGAAGGGGCATCGGCCTCGTAACTTCCGAAGGAATTCGGCTTTCATCATGAGGCGTCATAATTCTTCTAAATGAAGACCTTCTGACTCCCAGGGCAGAGTTTAAAAGGTTTGAATAATTTTTTCTGGTTAGCGTTTTTTTAGCGAGTTAGTTTTCTACGGGATGGGGACGCTAACCCCATGCCCAACCCTCCTCCTTTATCCGGGCTTGGGACCGGCAGTAGCCCCCGGAGGGACTCTAGGCGGAGTTTCTGAAGTTCTGCTCTAGTCAATATCTCTTAATAGAAACTTTGATACTACAGAAAACTTCCTAACATTAATAGTTGGTAATTAGTTGATTATAAGTCTTTTTTGGTGAATAAATAATGCTTGTTGCATCGTTCTGCCAACAGTCCTCTTAAGTTACAACAAAAAGAATGATTGGAATAGAAAAATATGCTGATTACTGTTCAGTGTGTTACTAAGTTACTTATTAATGATATCAAAATAAAATTATCAAAATCACAATTCCGATGTCATTAAAAGTTGGTGAAGACGCATTTACCCGATGTATTCCCATAGATCCTGACGTTCAAAA